TTCGTCACATAATTTTACTACCACTGTCTAGGTGAGTTAGTGCACCTAAATTAGTAGCGCGATGTCTTCACAGAGTTTGAAGTTACTGGTGAAGGCTTTATAACTTTGCTATTCCTGACACAAGACCAGTTAAATATAGCAACCTTGAAATGTGCAAAATATTTCAGAAAGAACAGGAGAAGAAGATCAAGCGACTGGCTTTGGAGGAAAAGAAGCGATGCAGACGACTGCAATTAGAGAGTGGTTACGAAGGGATTCATGTTTTGGGTAAGCCCTCGAAAGCTCGACATCATGAAACCCCGACAAAAAGTGACTGGATGAAGGACCGTGAACCGGGTAACATTCCCCAGCCCTCCCTCATGCAACAGAAAGAGCCTGAGGTACAGTTTGTGCAGTACTAGTATACAGATAAGGTCGTCTTTTTGATGTTCTTCTCAATAGGCCAATCGCAACGAATATTTACTCCAAAAAGAAAATTACATTCCGTCCAGTAGTTATGAGTCTTTTTGCTCTGTCTTGTTTAAAGCAGCATTCAGTTAAACGGGCTATACACAATTGTGTTGAAAGTTATTTCCCAATGTGAAAGATTAAAAGTTCTCCTTAACAGTCACTCTGACAAAAAGAAGACTTGCTTGCGAGTCAACAGGGAGAAAACATGTATTTATTCCAACGGCCGACATATGGGACCTTGGAAAATGAAAGGTCCCCAATTACCAACCACAGGCGCACCCACATAACCAATCATCGAACTAACATAAGTTTATGCTACATGCAATGAGTGAGTAGGCTTTCATGATTACCCTTGTCGACTAGCCGGCAGCTGCCTTCTTCACGCATGCAATTTTACACTCTCTTTCGATTTCCCACTTGTCCGTGCTTTTTCTTGGAAATCTGTAGCCAATAGGGAATTCAAAGGCGTCCGCCTCTCTTTCCCTTAGTAAAACATAACTAAACTGAAAAACGTTGACCCTACTTAAGGTGCCCTGGGTAGCGCGCGGACATATTTCTTTTCATGATGTCTTTTTAATGGAGTTTTTCTAAGTCCATCTAGAAGGTACGGCCTTTTATGTCCATTGTCTTTTTTTCCTGAAAGTCAGTCATATGATGCCTTACATTACGTAAGGCTACTATAAATTCTAAGTCTCAACTAACCTTCCAGCTACATGGGCTGTTTTCAAAAATTCCTCATTTTGAAACAAGGACGGCCGTTTACTCTTCTGCAACTCTCTTGTTGTCTATATGCGAGCCCTTAGACGCTTCATGCATAAAACGGGTTAAGATTAACATCACTTCTCAAGCCAGTGATATACAGATCATTTTACTTATAACTAAACGCCGTGACAATCGTCCCATTGGATTTTCCAACTTCAATCCTAACTCCTGTCTGTCAAGTATACCCAAAAGGAATTCCCACAGGCGCTAAGAGTCAGCAAAAGACCGACAAATGTGGCAAGTGCGACACACTATCGACATCTCCTTGTCGATTTCGTCAGGAGACCTACAGCGAGAACAACCCAATTCCTCAAAGAAGAGGTAACTATACTTTGACATATGACCCCATGTGGTAGGATATGCAAAGCGGATATAAATCCAATATCTAATCCAACCTCATTTATCGACCTGAGCTGGCTAAACGCTGAAGAGTACTTAAGACAAAGTCGTCTGATGCGGAAGAACGTAGGACTATTCTTCTTATTAGTAAACGTCTCAAGCCACTATGATAACCATCATGCACACTATTAAATAGAGTTATATATTGGGAATTTGTCCAGTGTCTTCAGGCTGGTTAAGAGGATTTTGGTCATCTCAGGGGAATTTCAGGCAAACAAAGACCTGATTACTTGAAATTTAAGTCAGGAGTTTTTATGAAAACTTACAATCTAAAATAGTGGAGGTTCAGACCACACTACCTACAAGAGAATTCTGTTCCGAAAAATTTGTTGATTAAAATAGTCAAAATTTTTTAAAAACACTGGTCAGATTTAGTCACACCAAATAACTTAGGTCATCACCGTCCGAACTCGGTGTACGAAAAGATCAGGAAGAGAAAATCACGAGAAGGGTAAAATAAAGTCTGTAAGGGATAAAACGGGGGAGGGACGTCGATATATATACCAGAAACCGCTAGAGAACGCTGGGGGTCCCACTGAAGAGCCGAACCCCTCGCAGCTGCGTCACGCAGCGGCAGAATATCGGCGAAACACGTGTCTGGGCTTTTAGCAAGTATCTAGGTCGGGAGTACGGTATAATAGCATTACCATATGGAATTCATACTACTCGTAGTACTACTTGTTTGTAGAATGGGCATTACGTGGTTATTCCACAGAAGTTGATTGTCTTCGACTCAAATGTTCATTGAAATTTCGATTCTGACCCTAAAAAGTCATGTCCCGGAGATTTAACTGCCGCCTGTCTTGTATTATAAGCATGCGTGACGCACGAACTCTGACCTGCCTTCTGGCCGGGGATTGGCTTGTGTCCCTCCGCGGGCGGCCGATGGCGCGCTCCTGTGACCTCTGCCCCCTGGCCGGCTGTCGTAGTCACAGCAAAATCTGTGTGCCCGTGGGTCCTCCCCTCATAAACGGATGGGCTGATCAGCCGCCGTTGCATGTGCGAATCACGCTCGGCTGTTTGGGCGCGTCGGTTGGTCGATGTCTCGCTTTGGTCATGTGACCTCCGGCTGGCTCTTTCCCCGCTACTTAGGAATAACTTTGGAATGGAAACAAGGAAGGAAACTTGGGGGTTAATTGAACGAAAACTCGGTATATATTTCCGATAACCTGGTTTTCGGCTGAATGGCGGACAGTCCTCCGTAAGTACATGAGCTCGTTTGCTCGGACGTATGAAATGGTTCTTCAGCTATTCGCTCTTTGGAGCGATTTCAGCCCGGATTCATGATCTTAAAGTAGTATCTTATATTAATCCATTTAAGTGTGTGACATATTTCGCGCAATGCAGGTATTATACCCAAGTTTCTCCTTTCGCATTTTTATATCCATAATTTTCCCTATTGACTTTCTGAGATCTCCTCACTCGTTTGTTTATGCAAACAGATACACATCCCGCTTCAACCATGTAGCAGCAATTTATTTAAATTTTCTTTTCATAAAGTTCAGACTGAACTGAACTAGTTAGTTGATATTAATACGGCCAATAAGCACTATCCTAAATTATCCCTCCTTGGTAAGTCATTGCAATTCTTAAAATAAACCTCCTATGTTGCGGAGGTGGACAGTTAAAGACAAAGCTAACTAACATAGCAGCTTTATAAGACGTTTCCAAGTCCTCCTTAGTTGGCCATACTCCTGAACACTATCTAACATCTGAAACGCGAACATCTGTATGTTAACTAGATAATCCACAGATCAGACTTGTCCAGTAGTTCGACCGTAGTTGCCGAAGATGTCCACCGTGTTCCCCACAGCAAGGTGAGAGCAGGGACGGTGACTCGCGCATGATTTAGTTTATAATGAACGCAGACTTGCGCAGCATCTACCGCACCCTCTTCGCCCCACCTGAGCACGGTGTCACGACAGAGTCAAGAAGACCGAGGGGGGAGGGCGCAGGCTGATGGCACGGTCAATCCCACACCTTGGCGCTCCACTACACAGCCCTTGGTCCACATAATAAATGGCCAGGATTTTGCCCAACAACAAAGGGCGGGTTGGCGCGGCCGAAAACGCGCCCGGGCGTGCCGTCACACCTGGCTCGGATCCCACGGAGTAGGAGTGCCATAAATGCCACATTAAGAAGGAGCCATTTTAGCCTGACTCTCAGACCACCAGTCGGCCACCACACACAAACACACACCACTAGGTCGATTGCGAGGTCCAAGTTACCCCGTCAGTTGGCAACCTTCAAAGCCACGGCTTTTAGCGCACCGTGATAGCTTCAAGCGCGTCAGATTATTTATAGTGAGGAAAAGGCGTTAAGTGGTCGACCTCAATCTGCCTTCCCATTCCCAGGCCCCAGTCACTATCCGAGCCGGTCAGTTGACAGGTGCGGGGAAATGGCGTGGTGGCTAACATGGTCTAGGGACCTTGTCTGCGCGCGCCACACGTACGACCTGACCCCCAAACACAAGTGCCAGGATTTCACACAACAGGGGTTGAGCAGCGTACCTCTCACATGCGTAAGAGTGCCGTGGAAGGAGCTGTTTCATCCCGGCTCTCAGCGCACCAGTCCGCTCCACCACACAAACACACACACAACTGGACAGACTGCGTGGACTGAGTTGGGGCGTCAATCAACAGCCTTAAAATCCGCGGCGCTTGACGAGTTGGGATCGTCCCAGGCTCGAGTCATGCGACAGGAGACGCACGCAGACCGAGTCAAGACGCACACTTCGCGTTTGCGTGGAAGGTGACAGTTGGGTGCTTGCGGTGGGTGATGTTGATGTGCGGTGAGCTGCTGGTGTGGGGGAATGTCGTGGTGTGATGCAGCCGACGGTTGTCTACCGCAGGTTTTCGTAGATGCGCATGTGGCCGAATAGGTCCATGCGGTGAGTGAATGTACGAGGGCAGTGTGGACAGTGGAGCCGGATGCGGTGTGTGTAGGTGGGTGCTTCAGGCCCTGGCTCTCTGGTCTCGGTGCAATGGATTCGCAAGTAACCGGCCAGGCCGATGCGTGAGGTGAATGTGCTCGGACAGTGTGGGCATGAGAAGTCGGTGGTGTTGGCGTCAGTTACGGAGATGGTGGTGGTGGGCGCACGGGACGACGGAGTGAGGGAGGGGCTAAGCATGGCGGGTATGATGGATGTGGTTGGTGTGTCAGGACTGCGGTCAATTCCGCTCTCGTGGAAACGCATGTGGCCGAATAAACCCATGAGATGCATGAATGTGCGAGGGCAGTGTGGACTGTGGAGGCAGGTGCGGCGTATGTAGGATGGTGCTCCAGGCACTAGTTCGCCAGTCTCTGTGCGATGGATTCGCAAGTGACCGACCAGGCCGATGCGTGAGGTCAAGGTGCGGCCTCAGTGAGGACAGGCGTAGTCCTGGTCCTCACCAGTAGTGTCGATGGTGGTGGTGTTGGTGTTTGTCGGTGCGGTAGAATGGTGTGTAGTGTTGATGGGCGTGGTAGGCGCCACGACGGCAGACGTTGGGGCAGCGCAGGAGGATGAGCAGGAGGAGGAAGAGTAGGAGAAGGAGGTGACGGAGGAGGAGGAGGAGGATGAGGATGAGGATGAGGAGAAGGAGGAGGAGGAGGGGGGGGGGAGGATGGAAGTGTTGGATGGGTAGGCCGGTCAGAGTTAGTTGACGGCGTAGAGGCTGAGGGAGAGGTTGACGGAGAGACGACGGTTGGTGCAGTCCGACTGGCGCAGTTGATCCGAAGGTGTCCAACAAGTCTATTTGGCGTCCTGAATGGCCGCGGACACCGTGGACACGTCGGCCGGACTGATTTTCAGACGCTTCTGGGAGGACTTCAGAGTATCCTTGTAGCGGCGTATTTGGCCTCTTTGGCGGCGGGAACCGGTGGCGGCGTCTCAATATGAGAGTCGTTTGGGCAGCCGCTCGTCGTATATCCGCAGGAGGTGCCTGCTCCAACGCAGTTACAGTTGCCGCAGCATGGCGTTGATACTGAGGATTCCCGTCCGCTCCAGTACATCAGTGTCGGGGATTCGGTCCTGCCAGTTCAGCCTCAGGATGCGGCGAAGACAGCTGAGGCGGAAGTGCCTGAGTCGGCGTGCCCGCATCGTGTACACCGTCCAAGCCTCTGCTCCATACAGCAACGTAGAGGTGATTACGGCCGTGTAGATCTTCAGTTTTGTACTGAGCTAAAGACCGTGGCGATTCCAAACAGTGCTTTGAAGACGGCCGAAGGCTTGACTTGCCTTCGAAAGCCGGCGGGCTACTTCGTCGTCGATTTTGGGGCCTCGGAAGAGGGTTCTGCCCAGGTACGGGAAGTTGTCTACAACAAGCAGTTGGGTTCCGTTCACGCTGATTTGCGGCGCATTATGTGGAGCGGGCTGTGTTGGGTGGCGGTTGGTGCATCACCACCGTCTTCACCGTGCTAATGACCAGACCGAAGTTCTCGCAGGCGGTGGAGAATAGGTCCATGCTGCGTTGCATGTTTTCTTCCGAGGTGATGTTCAGGGCGCAGTCGTCAGCGAAGAGAAGTTCGTGAACTGTGGTTGTGGATACGCGCGATTGGAAAAGCATCCGCCGCTGATTGAGGAGGTGGACGTCAGCCCTTTAGGCGATGCGGATCCCGGGGCGTTCGTCACGGTAGGCGTCCATCAGGATAACAAAGAATATAAGACTAAAGGGGGGTGGGCCCCAGGATGCATCCCTGCTTCACTCCGTTGATCATTGAGAATGCTCCTGAGATAGCCCCATTGTCCGTGACGCGCTCCAACATGCCGTCGTGGAGCTGACGCACCATCTGAATGAATCGGTCGTGACTGCCGAATTTCTGCATGATCTTCTACAGTTCTTTGCAATTCACCGTATTAAAGGCTTTTTTCAGATCCACGAAGGTAGAGTACGGGTGGGTCCGCATCTCCTGGCACTTCTCCTGAAGTTGGCGGGCGGCGAAGATCATGTCCGTGGCCCCTCGATGACGACGGGAGACGCACTGGCTTTCCGGCAGAAGACCTTGTTTTAGGTGGTTGTTTAGACGGTTTAGGAGGATGCGAGCAAAGATTTTCCGGTGATGTTCAGCAAAAAGATGCCCTGGTGATTCTCGCAGAGCTATCGGTCTCCTTTCCGTTAGTATAGATGCATAACTGTGGCGTCCTTGAAATCCTGCAGGGCTTCTCCTTGACGCCACGTCTCCTGAAAAAGCGCCGTAAGATGATCCATGAGTTGGGGGCTACCGTGCTCGTAGGCCTCAGCAGGGATCGCGTCAGATCTGGGCGCTTCCCCGCTGCAGAGCTGTTGCACGCTCTGATGGTGGCGTGGAGAGAGGGCGGGGTTCGAGGTCGACCCTGGTCTCCACTTGCGGCAGACGGGCGATGACGGCGTCGGAGATGGTGGAGGGGCGGTTGGGGACGCCTCGGAAGTGTTCAGCCCATCGCTGTAGAATTTGAGTCTTTTCGGTGAGTAGAGCACTGCCGTCGGCGCTGAAGAGGGGTGCAGTACCTTTGGTTGGCGGACATTAGACAGCTCTCATCGCGGAGAAGAAGGTCCTCCATTCGCTGAAGTCCGCGCACCCTTGGATCTCCTCGGCCTTGCAAACCGCCCAGGTGTCCTGCACCTCTCGCAGCCGCTTTTGCACAAGGCCACGACTACGGTAGAAAGCAACTCTGTTGTCGGCGGTGGGGCGGTCGACGTAGGCTTTGTGCAGTCGCTTCTTTCCGGCGAATAGGTCGCTGATGGCGGCGTCGACATCGAACCAGTCCTGACGTTGGCAAGGTGCACGACGGAGGACAGCCAGGACCATCGATTGGACTGCGCCCAGCAGTTGACACCATCGGTTCTCTACGAAGACGGTCTCGTCAGCGGCAGCAGCGGCAACTGGAAGGTTGGCTAGCAGTTGAGCTAGCTCACTGCCGAATTGGAAATGACGAGCAGGCAAAGACAACAAAGCAATATTTAGCTTATCTGGGTGTCGCTTACCTTAAGATCCCTTACGAGTTTGTAGGCGAATCCGCATATTTGAGATAAAGAGACGATGGTCGGTCCACCCATCGGCACCCGGAATCGCCTTTGTCACCTGTACGTCTCGCGGGTCTCGCCTCCAGACGAGGACATAGTCCAGCAGGTGCCTCTGACGCGACCGAGGATGCATCCAGGTGGCCTTCTTTCGCATCGACAGGCAGAAGTAGGCGTTGGTCAGGGTGAGTCGGTGTTCTGCGCAGGTGCGAAGAAGCAACAGACCATTGTCTTTTGAGCCGCGGAGACCGTGGGGACCCAGCATTCCTCTCCAGGTAGCATGGTCTGTGCCGACGCGGGCGTTGAAGTCACCAAGGACAATCAACTTGTCCGCCTTCGACACAGTCGCCTGGAGGGCGTGCAGGTTCTCGTAGAATTTGTTCCTTGCAGTGTCAGGGTTAGTTATCGGGAGAGCATAGACGCTGACAATTTTGGCGAATTTCTCTCCCCAGAGAGGCAGGCGAAGGCTCATCAGACGATCGTTGATACCATGCGACAGATAGGACAGTCGCCACACGATGTCATTCGGATGGCGAAGGCGACATCCGCGTCCCGCCGCTCTGCCTTGGGACAACCGCTCCAGAAGAAGGTGTAGCCGGCACCCACCTCCTCCAGTTGGTTATGTTCGGAGAACCGTAACTCGCCGAGTGCGGCGATGTCCACCTTGTAGCGCGCCAGTTCCCGGGCCATTAGCGCCGTCCTCCATTCCGGGCGGTTGCTCCTGGGATTGTCTAAAAGGGAACGAACATTTCAGGCTGCCAGGGTGAGCGGATTCACCCTACCAGCCTGGCCAATGGGGCGGCGGGGAGGAGAAGAAGAAGAGACGGGAAGAGGAAGAGAGAGATAGTTGTTTTTTAGGTTTTGGCTGTTTTGACCGTGTGTTTTTTCTCTGCGACCACGGCCAGTCTACAGACTGCGTGGTACCCAGCAATTTTTAGGGCACCTTTTCTAGCCCCTTTCCCCTTTCAGGGGCAAGCAGCATACCCCCAAAAAAGGGCTGCTCGGTAGTGTCAGGCGCTGCCACACTCCACTGTAGGTCTCCACTTTGCTTAGTGGGAGCACGACCCGAGTTATCGTGAGCCATCTACGTGATTCCTGTCACTCTCGCCGTGGGACCTTTGAGTAGTGGGAACGGGGGGATGGGGGAACGGAAGACGGAGAGAAACCAGAGTATCCCGTCCCTCTCTCCAGACTAACTGGTTGCTAAAACATAAACGATGGGCAGAAATATTCGACAGAACGGTATTGAGAAGAATGGTATCTAGCTTACAACAAGCATAAACACAGACAAGCAGGCAAAGGCAAACAAGCAAGAGCAGGCAAAATGCAGAGACAACAGATCAATGTTCGGTCTACCTGGGGGTCACTTACCTTGTGGCCTCCTGCATTCAAGCTTCATCTTGGAGGTGGCGATGCGGTGATCCGTGGGAATTCCGACCGTGGGGTTGGCGTAGAGTGAAACAGAGGGTAGAGAGTGAGCGGCAGGGGATGTGGGTTGAGAATAGGCGCGAAGCAGAAGAAAGAGGGAGATCTTTGTAGCTTGCTGAGTGCTGGTGGCTTCCGACGGTGTTGTAGACGGAGCCTCATCTCGGAGATGCCGAGGCGGTGTTCCATCCGGCCAGCGATGGTGCGAGCGGAGCGGAGTCAAGTCACTGTGTGCGGAGATGCACACACGGATGCTCTCACATGGTTTATCCCGCTTGTCGAGACGGTTACCGGGGTGTGGCCGCTAGGCAGAGCCTAGCTTCGGGGAGCCACATGTAAGAGTTGGATGCCAGTTAGTGGGCTCTAGGCGTAGTCTACACCTACAAGCAAATGAGCGACCCACTACGACCATCATGTGGACCCAAAACTGGACACCCCAACACCCCGTAGACTTATCCAGTGAGTCATGAACACCACCAAAATAAAGTCCATGGATGCTATGCCACCTATCAGTCCCTGTCGGAACAAAAGGGATATATATCCGTATGGAAATTAGCACACACACACCCATGTGGCTCCCAAAATAAATAAGCCCCACCGAGGGCGTTAGGGGTCAACATCGGTTGATGATCAACCAGACAGCCGAGCAACCAGGTAGGTAATTGTTTAGTTAGACCTATAACGACACGCGAAACTAAGACGATAGGTTTTCTGGACTTATGCATTCCTGCTGGAAATAACGTTTTTTCTGACACCAGCTTATGAGCATTATTAAGTAAACTTTGGCATGGCGAAGCTCGAATGCAGGTGCTGTGCAAGATGGCTCTCTGTCCATTGCACAACGAGATCCGCCAGTCAGCTATACACTTGACCGGGAAAGATGATCGTAGACATAAATACGCCCAGGCATGTTGCACGGATGTTCCATGAATAACGTCGGACCTTCGTGTCAGCGGCAACAGCGAAGTGAGGTTCTATCAGCATTGCCCCAACGGAGAGTTATTATCAGAATCAATTAACGGCTTTTTAATATAGAACCAAGCTATCATCTATCCTTATCGAGTCCCGGTACAACTAGTGCATCTGTCGTCAAGTTTTTCCTTTTTTTCTATCTCACGCTCTTTTATTTTGCCTAGTCTCTTTGATGGCTGATGGGCGTCCAACTCCTCGTGAACCTTGCCATTAAATGTTAAATCTTGCCTTATCTTGGAAGGAGGTGGGTGGAGGGGGGAGCTGGCAGACCCGTTTGCGGGTCTTTGTGTATTAATTCTGCTAATTCAGAACTCTACGGTCTTCATTACTCTTGAATTGGTGTCAAAAGTCAGGCAAGCTATCTGCTCAGACCAAACAGGGCCTCTTCCATCAATAATTCATCTTCTCAAAAGGCAGTAAATATGCTTAGAATATTTTTAAGACAGTTTGAAAACGATTTTGATCCGTGTTGCTCCTAGAACATATTATGGTTAGCAGAGTGATATGTCTGAACTTATAAAGGACATTATTTTTTTGTGACTATGACCCAAAGCGTTTTGGGAATGTAACATCTACTCTCAACTTACGTCTGTTTATATTCTTTTAGAGTATCTCAAACCTCCAGTCTTCCAGTTCATTTTTAGCCAACAGGATACCATAATCAGGCCGGAACTCTTTCGGTGTCATCTGTTTCCTTCATTTCATGGAGATTGCACCCAACAAGTATTTTCTTTTGGATAAGACAACTGGGAACCAAGCATATCCCTACAATGATCAGCAAATACTTTCTCGTTTTTTTCAGTTTGTTATCAGTTTGGAGGAGAAGCGAGCTTATTCCAAGGTTACCGGCTAAATACCCGATTATAACAAGTAGGAGTGGATGAACTTATAAGAAATAGAAATCCCGATACTTAACTGACAACTGTTATTGTACTTACGAGAGCTTTTTGTCAGAAATTGTTGGGGAATGTTCCAAATTCTATAACTACACACGAAAGCATGATCAGAAACGGAGAGTGTATGCACGTTTTTGGTTTGGGAGAAGCAGAAGTTCGGTGAAAATTCTCCAGACACAAGGGGTATACGGTGACTAGACCATGCCTGGAGACTCGCGTTTTGTATGAGTTTCTTTTTTTTAGTCTAATATGTTGTATGCAGTAACTATTTTACTCATTTGAAATACCAAAGGAGCATGTAATTCCTCACAGCGTTAATGAGTAAAATTCAAAAAATATTTTACAAATTTCAAGCGACGACCCATGAACTGCATGATACAAACCGCTTAGGATTAGTATGACCGAAAGAGCAGTGAACTGCAGTACATGGACAAGATCATTGCCATGTTTAGAAATGCCGGTAATTCCATCGTCGCTTGAAGATGCTACCAAATTTAACAGACAAACTATCTCAGGGAAACGGCCTAAACTCAGACCTCAATAACTGTCGTAGCCTTTCGGCTACCATTCGAATGCACAAACCATACTTTGCAAGATTGTTGAATAATTTTTTGAGAGAATTGATAAATGGAATTATCTTAGCTTTCTAATAGCAGAAATTAATGCACTAACCCTGATAATATCACAGTCAGTTGAGGCTAAACGGGAAGGCTAGCCTTGTACTTGTAATTGGCTTAACCTTTACACTGGTCCTTGCAGGTTATCTTAACATTCGCCCGCAGGCAGGCACACGTCCGCATGAATTTTACACGCCCTGTTCGACGACCTCGAAACGTTGACAGGTTGCCCAACAGGTGAAGGTCTTCGCATACAGCCCTGCGTTCAAGCCGAGGCGACGTTCACGCACGCACGCACGCACGCACGCACGGATGAATGAATTTTATGCTCCTTGTTGGGCGGGGGCTAGGTGGCTTTCACATATTCAAGCACATAGGCATCGACTACGCACGTTGTCTCAGATAAACAGCCTGCTTAACAGGTATATCGGCTTTCGAAATGCATGAGGGTAAGAATTAACATGGAGTCTGACCGTAAGGCTGATTTACTCGCTCAGACTTTGCCTACTCAATCACTCAGTCCCGCGCAAGCCCACAAATCTGACCTACTCGTTCGGGTCTGCCCATTGGCGTGTGACGCTTTCAGGAAACGTGAAGTAAATCATTCGGAATAAAACATTTGAGGCTCAGTCCGGAGGCTGATATAAATATATGAGCCGAAATCCATTAGCTCTAGCGGGCTAACCGCGTAATATTCATAGCCTGCCAACGGGCGGACAGTATTATACACATAGTACAATATACTAAGGGGCAATACGCAAATGGCTGATAAGAACAGTTCATATGATATTCAACTCAAAGCAAACATGCAATTATCCTGTTGTCAGTGACATTTGCTTTTTGCGCCATATTTCTGTACTGGTATGGGACTGAGACCGGGCACCCTCAGGTATCGAAAAGCGACAGGGCAACGGGCTCGTGGCCCAGTGATAAGAGGCGTGGAATTCTAACAAACAGGTCGCAAGTTCGAGCCTCGGATATGCCACACTTCGGAGTTGGGTATGACTGGCTGACGATGGCTAATAAACCACCAATGGCCCTTCCAGTCTCCCTTTGTCAGCAATATCATTCTGCCTATATCATGCACCGCCGAGCAGCTGCTGTTTGGGCTCGGGAGGGAGTTCATAAGGCACAACGGAACGAGTGAGTTACGTAAGAACGATCGATGAGCGCCCCCTACCGTATATATACATATATATAAAGAAAACGAGGTTCTGCTCGGATAGATATTTGAATGATTTTTGGATTAAGGTTGCTGGATATTTCATGGGGCTTATCCTGCCTAGTGCCTGCATGGTGTAAAATTGTCCATGCTGATGAGCCCGACGCCTCATGCAGCGACCGAATATCGGCGAAGTACGTGTCTGAGATTTTAGCTAGTATCTGTGTTGTCAGTGTGGTAAACTATCCCGCTGAAACCGATGGATTTTGGCTTAGGTATTCATATCAACTTTCGGACTGAGCCTCGAAGGTTTTATGCCGAATGATTCATTCCATGCTAGCTCATTGCTTTTTGGGAAGAGGAAAAAGGGAAATTTCAGAACTGGAGTATGTGCCAGAAAGCACATTGAAAACAGTTGGTGGGCCACACCTGTCGTAGCTGTGTCATGTTGGGCCAGGATATAGGCGTAAGTCACGCCTGGGCTTTTAGCCAGTACCTATGTTCAGTCTGGTAAGTCGTGCCCAGTGGAAGTATTTTGTGTCCTGAGCCAGTCAAGCCACATGAAGTCTGACCTCATAAACTTTTCGTTTCCAATGACTAGTCTGACCGGTCCTGTCCTACTGCAATCCGATCTCTGTGTCAAACCTGCTGATGTTTCTTGATTGTTTTACTTACAATGGAAGTGTCAATGGCCATTCATTTTGGCAAGAATATTTATATTGGCCTACATACACAGTGCAAACAAGTGTATTTATAGCGATCTGGTTGTTTTTAAAGGGCACATACTCCTAATAACACATATACGCGTCCAAAACGTTTGGGCCAAAGTTGACTGGAGTGACCATGGCCTACTCAGAGGGGTCGTTCATCTTTTATTTTTGGCTACTCTGATTAGGTATACCGCTGTATAGATAGCGTGAGTACGCTGCCTGCATAGATCAAGCTAATTCTGTGGAATGGAGTGCACTGGGGTGAATTGAGTCACCTGTTGAAATTCCAGACCCTGAATCCGCCATTTGTTCTCGTCCATTCCTGTCAAGGCTGCTGTCGGACAAACGACTGAGACTACGAGAGGAATTTCTGTTCATTCTAACATTCTGAAAATAAATACCAGGAAGTAGTTAACCTCTATGATTTTTTCTACAAATTGATCTACGCACATACACAATCTGTACTAAAAAAACTTGTAGTATCATTAGTCAGTTAAGCTAAGGAATAAACGACCTCGCTGACTGGACCACACTTCCTCCAGTCGAGTTTTGACCAATCCCCAGAATGGAAGCATGTGCTAGAGGGACACAACTTCGGTGTCTGGTTTTGCTTCCAGCTCAGGTAGAGTCATTGTGGGCCAAAAGCCATAGGAGTTGCGGTTAAGCGCAATCAGAACGCTACAGTTTCATCGACCCAGGTGTTATGGAACGTCCGGTTAAGCAGATGTTCTAGGAGAGGAAAATGACAAAGTCAGGGGTTCGATGGTTAGAATGAAAAACTGTGTAATATTCGGCGTAAAGAGCAAACTCAGATACGATGCTGGCTATTTTCGGCGGATCCTCTGAAGATCAGCGTGAGCTCGATTAATAAGATGTTTGTAGAGAGTAAGTAATGGAAGGTCAGAGGTACCCTGACTCAGTGAACCAACCATTAATCCAATTGGTCACTGGTACACCAGTATTTCAGACGATGATGGTCTTAGCTAAGGATTGGTACTAACAAGGATGTCCTAAATGACAATACTACTTATTGTTCATATCGAGCACACCATCTTTGCGTGAAAACCTGGTGCATTTTTGGGGCAGATTGTATGTGGCACGTAAACGGGCCCACTGCTCTCAGAAGAGTGGGCCAGGCTGCACTGGTTCCTTCTTAAAGTGTATTCTTTGATGTTCGCACTCAGATAGTGGTCGAGACGGAAATGTTTGTTTCTCTGAAAATTTGTGTCTATCTTTCGCGAACTAGCCGTGTATGAAATGCGTAGACGGATTGTTTAGCTTTTTCGACCACTGCGCCTTATCTCGTCTCCGGTCTTTCTGACTTCCCATTGCCACCGATCCCAGGTGGGTAAGAGAGGAGAGAGTGACGTGTGCCGTGCAATTCTGCTATCACTTTAAACTAATTTACGCACAAGCCGTTGGTACTGTGCCCACTTCGTCGGGCACACGGTGGGCGTCGTAGGTGACGACGGTCAAACTGACAAATTGGACGCCAGTTTACTGGCATTGTCTGAATAAATATACAGCTTGAATTGAAAAGTGAAAAAACTCCGGACACGGAGGTACGAGTTTAGCTGCGATTTAGACAGTAAACCACACCTCGGCACCATGATTTTTCGGAAGATAAAACTTAAGACGGAGGACTGACTGCCCACGAGAACAGGAAGCTTTGGCTGTGGAGTACCTGGGAATTGCATGTTCAGTTCCATACTGTTCGGTAGGAAATGTTAATCAGACTAATAGGTAGAGGAATGCACAGTTGTACACTGCTGACTGAAAGATCCGCCAGTTCGATGACGGACAACAGAGCCAACAGCTTGTTTTTTGGAACGAAACAAGCCAGCAAAACTATAGTTCGCGAATACCGTCGCCACGAATGGTCATTTCGGAGGATTAGGAGCCCAGAAGTTATGAAAGTTGTTCTGAATGCGACACCAAGTGGTAGCTTCTCTTTATAATGGATAACTTTGCGTAGTTGCTACGTCTCTAATTATTTCCTGACTGGACGCGTGTTATCAGGGAAGAACTGATGATAGTTGGCTGTATGACCCAGGGAAAGAAGAAGACCTTGTGTTGCTCGCTACGTCGAGGACAATGAAGATCCACCAAGATAGACAGCAAGTTAAAGTTCAACAATTTATTAGCATAAATAGTAATCACTCTTACAATCGACAGACCGAAAAACGGCCAAGGTCCATAACATGTCTAAATTCGATCTTTTAGGAAAACAATTATTTTGAAAAGAAATACGTTAGACAAATCAAATCTTGTTACTCTCACCAGCGCGCGGATGATTAAATGCAAATGAGGGGCATTCAAGCTTAGATCTAACGTCCTAATATCATTAACCATACAATTCCGGAAGAAAATTTCGGTCATACTATCTGATTTGGAGTAGGCTACACCCATGTCTTTAGTAACTCTGGAAAAGTTTTTTGTGGCCATCAGCGCCAAGTCTAGACCGATAATCGAAGACAGCAAGAATAACTTAACAATTATGTCAAGTAAGGGAAAGGTGTCATGCGCAACACCTTTAGAAAAAAACCGTCCGTTTTAGGAGTTTAGACACGATATTACGGCCTGCCCACTTCCGCCGGTTAGCAAATTTTAAGTCGTCAGTTTACACACAAGGTCCATCACTCTTAAGTATTTTCGTATATAATTTACAAAAGGACGAAACACTACCCCGAGAAATCACACTTCCCACATAAGTGAGGCTGGAAAATCATTGCTCGTCGTGTAAAAGAGTAGGAGAAGAAAAACAGGAAACTCGAAAGTCTCTCCCTATTCCGAGAGACGGAACTTCCAGGAGAAAGCGACAGTCGTTCACACGGGAAATGTCTTGGTGAGAGAGCAAAACCCTTGCCCGGAGACTGCGGAATATATTTCAAGACGGTTGTCAGGTGTCGCAAGGCTGGATGCCTGGGCGTCTGTGGTAACATGCACTCCGTAGGTCACTATATGTCTTTTTTTAACTTCCCCGAAAACTGGTGCGCGAGCTTGGAATAAGTCCTTCGGAGCAAAGCTTTTTAGGCTCATGAGAAAGTTTATATGAACATTTGGCTGAAATTCATGACTATTGCGTAGTAATTACGTAATACTCACAAATATGCCTACAGACAGTGAATAGTATACAAATACTGAATAATTTACCATACCGACAGCACAGGCGCCATCCAGCAGATTTTGGCTAGTAGGCATGTTGTCAGCATCTAAACAATTCAGATCGTTTTCTGTAAAATGGCATGTAGTCCCACTTTCGATCAGGGTCTCACAATTTTCAAAATTTTCAAAGCCTGAACTACGAGACTGGCGAAGACGTATAATACCTGCGGTTACTCTCCGAAGGGTGAAATTTGAAAGGCCTAGAACGACATCGATCTGAACCTGAATGTAAGGAAACAGCCCGGTAGTTTTCAAATAAGTTCTGGACAGAAGGGTATTAAGGCCAGCTGCGGTCATCAAGTCGAAAATCGGATTTCTGCAAGTATAATGGAGAATGGGTCGCTTGGGTTTTCCTGGGTTCCGTTGAGTAAGAAGGACGTTTTGTAACATTTAACAAAAATTTTTGCGAACCCGACTTCACCCGGAGGTCACCTTTGTTCAAAAGCCTTCTAGTGCACCTTAAAAGTACAACGTATGAAAAGCAGAACTAAATGTCGTTTTGAAGATGGGAATAACGAGGGACCCTTCGCAGTTTATTGTGGACGGACAAAGGAAAAACAACGACGTCAGTAGCACCAATCGTCTTCTTCAGAGGAATAAGGCAAAAAATAAATATATTCCGACCCTCAGAAGGTTGTACAGTGCCGACGTTCACGCCCGCACGAAGAAGGCGATCAGCCTATTAATGAAATATGGTGTATAAGCGTGCATTCGAACGGGCTAGTTAGAAAGCAAGGATGTTTTGAGAAATATACTGTTAGCTTCAAATCTAGTGTTGAATCAACTATGCCAAGGTTAGAGATTTCAAGTTGGCCTTGGAGAGACTGCCACGTACTTAGGTAGCTTCTGCAGAAAGGAAAATCAAATGTGCTTGATCTTCGGTAGGAAAGAAGACAACCCGATATCACACACAAAATTCTGGGCATCGAATAAGATCATGAACATTATCGAACCAGAGCGCTAAAGACACCATCATCAGATAGACTGGATTTGCCCGAAATTAACTCGTATCTTCACTCAAAATCGACTACAGCGCGAAATGTCAGAGAAACAAAAACTGAAAGTCCCACTAATTTGGACGATGGGCGTTACCAATAAGTAAACAATATGTTTTTTTATAGCAAATTGAACCTAACGGCTAGTTTCTGCCGCGTAAAAACGTGAGAGTTCTAAGTGGCCTTCGCATTCTTCACGATTTCGATACGTCGATGAAGACGGGGGCTCTGCTTAGGAAAATAATTTGTTGAATGCCACTTTACAAGCATTATCAGAGTAAATATACAACTTGAATAGAGCAAGCAGCAGAATAAGCTTCTGATTTGCCCGTTGGAGTTAGCTGGGCTTTGAATGATTGGAGCCGTTTAGACAAGGGGTAAATTTGTGGAGTTTTCACGATCTTGAGCAACTTACTCCAGATAGCCATGGCGTTGACAGACAAGAACCGACTATACTTGACGGCTGGTGTCAGGAAGGAACATAAAAAGACCTCGCGGTAACCGCTGTGCCGAGGATGGTAAATGGGTTTCCAAGTAGCGAACGGATCTAAATTACGACAGGTTGAAGGCTTAAACGGCGAAGGAGTTTATCTTATAGTTGGGGAAGTCACAAAGAATCATAGCTTGTGAGCCTTAAAAGTATCTGATAATTTAAATCTAGGTGTTATGGGTTAATTTTCTTTTGGTAAAATAATATCAGACGGACTCAATTTCCCCTAGGTTACAGGTGTGCAGAAGAGTAAATAAAACCAAACACTTCGGGCAAGTCCTAACGTACACAGGGAACAGGGGCTCCCTGTAAAACAGGCGGTCTTGCGCTAAATCCCACAAGGGGTGCCTATTTCAGTGCTCTTACCCAAACAATAACCCTAACCCAGACCTTACTCCCGACATCAATCCTACCCTAACCTTTACCTTAACCCAAACTGTACCCCTACCTTAACTCTAACCCCAGCCACAATCTTAACTCTGACACTAATCCCCTGGAATTTAGTGCAACACCAACCGCACTACGGGGCTCCACTTCACCTGTCCCACAGAGACGGGTTTTAACGTCGCTAGTTTAAAATTTCTGGGGATAAATTTGGCCGTTTGTCGTGCTTAAGAGATAATCGGAGCACAATGCTCCGAAAAACTTAGACTCTTTAGATAGGGTATAC